GAAAATCCTTATTTACAGGGCTGTTAACAGCAAAAGTAGATCCCAAATGTATTTGCGGTCTGAAAATATGTACCATGTAATGCAGAAAGGCTTCTCCTTTTTCCGGGGCACCAGGGACGATATACATAGATCTTCCAGGTAATATTTTTTTAAAAAAAAGGAAAATTCTTTGCGTAAAATATCCGGAAAAAATGCGGAATATTTTTTCTCTTATTTTCCTCATAATTTGCTTTCAGCTGAATTGTATCTTAATTTTTTTGAAATTTTCTTTTTTGAACGAGTGATGACTAAAAAGCCCCTAAAAATCAAATATATTATCTAAACATATATATAAACTTGTATGTATAGAAAACCTTTTGGATATCCGAAAAAACTAGATAAAATATCCGGAAAAAGATAATCCCTGATTATACATTGATCATCCAAGTCATATTTTAAAAATTAGGTAAGATATCCGGTATAATCCGGATTATATTTTCCACTTTATTTTGCTATTACCTGAGTTGATTTCCACTTTAATTTTAGTATGACATACAAAAATTATCAACTTTAAGTTTTTCCAGATATCCTAAAATTTTCCAGAAATTAAAGCTGAGGTATATATTTTGGAAATATATTTATTTTTATGCTTTTTCACTTATCGCTAATACAGTATGAGCAATAAGTGAAAAAGCTTGAAAATAAATATATTTCCAAAAGATATACCTTAACTTTAATTTCTGGAAAATTTTAGGATATCTGGGGAAACTTAAAGTTAATAATAATATCCGAAATTCCAAAATTTCCGAAAAAAAAAAATCCATGAGTACAACTCTTGTACCACCTCTTGAGGTCCTTTTTGTCAAATAATGCTTTTATTAAGATATGTGGCTATGAAAATAGCCGTTTTGAGAAAATTTAAACGATTCCTTCACCAAGGTTTGTTAAAGCAGCACAAACTGTTACAATTTTGTCACAATTAGAAAGAGTAACTGAGGTAGCTTCATCAGTAATGTTTTTAACAGTTCGTAAAGGCAATACACCTTGAAGAATGGTGTAACGATTTTTCAACAGCCCAATAACTCTTTCTATGTGAATTCTAACAGATGATATTTTGCGAGATTTTTCTACCTCCGAAGCAGAAAGTTGGGCTTTATCCTTTGTAAAAGCTGGATTTATTAATATAGAGCAACTTCCAGCTGCAAAATCGTCTTGTAAAGTAAAACCTCTATCTGATAAGATTTGATGCTAGATGCAAATTCTGATTCCCGAGTTAGATGATTGTCAGAAGCTCTTCCACCATAGCATTTGGAAATAAAGTTAATCGTTCCATTAGGTGTGCATGAAATGAGACATTTTATTGTACAATGTTTTTTATATTGGCTGTAAAATAGTGCTCTTGCCATTAGAGATGATGGTGATTCCACAAAAACCTCAAAACAATCAATAATTGATGTTAGTCTTGGGAATTTGTTTTTGAAAACAGGAGGAATTGTTTCGTATATATGATCTCGATCTTGCATTTTTATTAAATACTTTAATTTCACATACATAATATCAATCCATTTCCGAAAGTTATCCAAGGCAGTAGTTTTTTTAATATCAAACATAAATGATAACATATCAAAGTTAATGTTGTGCCTTAATTTAACTAAACAGAAAACAATTTTATCTTCTGTATTAAATCTTTTTAATGAACTTTCTGGAGTTCCTTTGCATAGGAAACTCAACAGTTTTTCTAATACAGGAAGATTAAGTCTAGTGAGCATATTGCACTTATCAGGATTGGCTCGAATTTTATTTATTCCTAAACTGCAATTGCTATCTTTTAATGATATCCACTTCGACATAAATAAATCTCTTTCTAATCGAAGATTATTTATTTCACTATATAGTTGTTGTCTTTCTGATGTTTTAAGAGGTATTTCAGATTTTTCAGTATAACTCATTTCTGACTTTAAAGAACTATTGGTTGAACTTTGCTGAACATTGATGTTTACAGGAGCACTCTTTCCTTTAAATAAGAAAAAAATACAATAGATATTTTAAATTTGCATATGATGTTTAAATAACTTTTAAATTAATACCTTGTATATAACTCTTACTGGAATCTTGAACATAAACATCTTCATTAATTATAGGAGCACTAAATTCTGAAATATATTATTAAATTATTTTTCAACTTCTACAAAATAAAGATAATAAACAAAAAATAAACAAAATTACAAAAACAAAAAATACAAATAGAAGTAAAGTTAGAAGTAATTGAAGACCTTAGTGCTAAAAAAAACTTAATTCGCACAATTTTTTTTAGAGAAAACATATTTTAAACTTATATTTGTATAGCCATTTTATTTATATAATTAAATTTATGATGGTCAACGTTCTAAAATAGCTTTAGTAAGTATAGAATTATTAATTTCTGAAAAATTGTTAAAAAGAAAAATCTAAAACTATGCAAAAATGTAAAAAACTAAAATAAAAAATTAATCAATACCATGACTGGAAGATTGTTCTAAAAAATTTTTGGAGCATATAGGATTAGTCATGTCAGATTGCTGCAAATAATCTTCAGTACTAACTTGGATATCGATTTCTGTTGAGTATGAAATACATTTATTTTATAAAAATTTACTGGAGCGGTTTCATAACTTTTACAAGATCTATGACGAAGTGCTATCTGCAGCACGATTAATTGCATTTAACCATTTTCTTCTGACCGCTTCATTCTTAGGAATACGATAAAATTTAAGTTTATTGTTTTTTTTTACAATTGTTTGTGCAACCTACAACACAACAACTCCTTGGCATCTTTTTGTCATAAAAAAAGTTTAAAACGCTGTTGATATTTATATGTTTGTTTTCCCTCCATTCAAGATGGTTAATTTATTTCGCAATTCGGCGTGACGTCACGCCGACTAGATGGATATCTGATAAAACTTGTTCCTAAAACTTAATCCTAAAGTTACACTGTGCATTTCTGTAGTACTAGAATGAAAAGTATTTTATTTATAAGAATATTTATGTACTTTGTTAGACCATCTCCATTTATAAGAATATTTTTGTATCCGAATTTGTTGACTGATGGCAAACCTTTTTCCATTATTACATCTTTTTAAATATAAAGAAGAATAATTAGGCTTTTGCTTATTACTTCAAAGTTGCATTTTATAAATTAAATTCTTTTGCGCAATTTAAACCATAAAAAAAAAACACAAAATTAATTTCAAAAGCTTTCAGGTAAGCAAAAAAAAATTCAACTGTAGTAAAAGTTCTGAAAGTTCTGAATTCAATAAGATAAGGTTGAAAGTAAAGGTCAAAGCATTTAAGGCCAATGCCAAGACCAAAATATTCAAGACTAAAAACTTGGGTTGAAACTAGGTGATTAGAATAATGTAAAACTTTTGGTTACTGTTTAAGTTAAGTTTATAATTTGTTTTTAAAAAAAAAGCCTAATTTAATGTTAATGAAACTATTTATTCAAAATATAGAGGTTACTTATTAGCAAACATAAACTAAACTTGAAATACACCTCTCATATGAAACATGAAAATATTTACATTCTAATATTTGCAGTTGATGGAATCTGCGGCTATGAGAGCTACCACAAAGTACACTATCAATGGCTTCAAAGAAGATTAACTGAGTTTTAGAGCATTATATTCTTTGTAGAGCATCATATTCTTCAAAAATCACCCAGAACACCTATTTATTGTAGAAGATCAAATAAGCTAGAAGCATTCTATGTAGGGGAGAACCTTAATGAATGGGAGGATTATTGAATGGGGTAAAATCAAGTTCGCATAGAAGTGCCTACGGTTAGTTATTAAAACTCTTGTAGTAAAAAGTGTTAGATACAGCCATTCATTAGATGAAACCATTATTCCTATTATGGTCTAAGCATAATGACATTAGATAATATTATGTAATAATAGTTCTTTAAAACACATAATAATATATGTTTTGAAGAACTAATAATAATTTTTTAAAAAAATCTTTCCATTTTTCAATCTTTTATATTTGTCCCATTCAATAATTTTTTTGTCCCATTCAATGAGTAGTTCTAAATAAATGGGACAAATGCTTTGATCCAATAAATTGCTCTGTTTACCAGTAGACATATGCAGAAGTTTTTGCTTTAATACATCATATTGCAAGAGTTGCAAGATATTGCTATGGTTACTGGTTATCAAACTGAGTTACTGGTTATCAAACTGTTTTTCAAAATATAAACTGGTTATCAAACTGTTTTTCAAAATATAAATTAAACAACTTTATCAACCTTAAAAAGAGCATTTCACAAAAACTGTCCTATTCATAAAGGTTCTCCCTTAAGTAAATATCGGGAGTTCTTACTTTATTAACCTCCTTGTTGTCATAATCTAAGTTTATGTAAATGCCAAAAAAAAACTGACCTTGATGATGACAAAAAAAAATGTTAACATAAATAGTACTTTACCTTCCTTTTTTAACATTAATCGGTTTTTTATGACTACAAATATAATAGCATTTTATGATTTTAAAGGTATATAGCTGGAAATTTTGAAGAACAAAATGAAATACATAAGTCTTAACAAAATTAGATAATTATTGAAAAATAAAAAATTGCATTAAGAACATGTATACATATGAACTAAAAAAAACATAAATAGAAGAAGAACCAGAAGACAAGCTGTCTTCTACTTAAGGTATGTAACAAGGATGTTACTCAAATCTTGATTCCACAAAAAAAAAAAAAATTTGTTTAGGATACTCTAACATACTTAGTAAAACATACCCAAATGCAGGGCCGCCAAGAGGGAGGGGCCACTGGGACAGTTTGTCCTGGGCAGCAGATATCTAAGGGGCACCAAATGAAATTTAGGTGTCTAAAAAAAAAAAAAAAAAAGAGGTCCTTCATCTATAATAAAGGAAAAATTTGATAAATAAGGGTGCCATTGATGTCCCAGGCGGCGTGACAGCTCTCGGCGGCCCTGCCCACATGTACAAATCATATAATTCATTTTAGTTTTTAACTTTACCTAATATCCATGTCTACAAAAGTAAGATCTAAACGATTTTTGGAGCAAAAAAGTTGATTTTCCATTTTGATTTCTAACACAGACAATGTTGTAACTGCAGGAGTACATATAGAGAATAGTGCATAGTTAGTGCTGATTTTACTTGAGTTTGGAAACAAGCGTCTTAGAGTTCCAGACATATGAAAAGGCTAAATAGTAAATATAGTAAGTTTAAAATAACATAAATAATTTTAAATGTTAAGTTAAAAAAAAAGAATTTATGTTTTAAAACAAGCTTGAAAATTTTATTAATAGCAGCAAATATCTTTCTTTTGAAAATACCCTTCAATATTCATATTTGTTTATTTAAACATATATATCCATAAAAATCATGAAAGCAATTACAAAAATACTAGAAAGTAAATTGTTTATTTCTATTTTTTAATATGGTCTTTTAAAAAATAAAAAACAAAACAAAAACAACTAATTAAAAAGTAATAATAATTAAAATAACAATAATAAAAAATCCCCATCAAAAGTATATTAAAAAAACAGAAATAAATAAGTCAAAAAAATTACCTGTGGAAAAATAATTTAAAATGTTTTAAATATCTTTTTGCAAAAACAAAATGAATAAGTTTCTAATTTTTAAATTATTTACATTTAGATTTTTGAGAAGTGCAGAGATTATTATGAACTTGCAGAAAAGAATCAGACCATTAGGTGAAAATTAACAAATATGGAGCTGTTTCATGATTTTATGAAATTCAAGTTTCATTTCTCTAAAATCAGGCAGGTTAAATTTTTCTACCATGAATTGTGGTTTTTGACCTGCAACTTTCTGATTCTGCAATTCTTAAAGAAAAACTTTATTTCATAAGTTTTGATATTTAAGTCTTATTATTTAAGAATAGTTAGTGTCATAAAGTAACAAATAGTTTAAAAACAATGGTTCGCAAAATGGTTTAAAACCAGATGTAAAATACAAAGAAAATAATTCTAAACCAATTGTTTTTTCTAATGACAGACTTTTCTTAAAATCAGTAGAAATAAAATAAAAATGAAATTAATAGAATTAGCACTTTGATTTTATCTTGTCAAAAATAAATGTAATAAGTATTTAGTAATGTCTTTTTAATCCTTATTTTATCTACATTGCATTATTTTTAATTTACAATTTTAAAATCAACAAAACTATTAGCAGATGTATATTGAGCCTGCTGCAGAGGTAAAATTCAAATCATGGTAAAACCTTAGGGAAGTTTGGTACTGGCGTTAGCATCTCTTGACCAAGATCATAATATAAAAATGGTAAATAAAGAGAGGTCTAAAAAGGTGTAAAAGCGGATAGAATCAAAGGTGAAATCCTTCTGAAAGCAGTTTTTGTTGATAAAGAATAGCCACTAGGTCTTAAGTTGTATATTTCATCAGATTACTGGTTAACTTTTGATATTTTAAGTCATAGTTTGAAAAAATGCCTACAGATGAGACTCACTCAGACTTTTTGGGTACAATGAATTCCAAAACTTTTAAAATCTTTTGAAGTTGCTAACAACTCATCAGAACTCACAGCAAAATTGTAAATCTATTAAGCATAGTCTAAGAAACTTATTTCTCAAAACAAGAAATATATTTCTTGTTTTTAAAAATAAGTTTTCAGGGTAGGATATTTATTTCTTAAAACAAGAAACGTAATTCTTATTTTTATAAAAAATATTTCTAAAATATTCAATTTTTCTGTGCTTACAGTAAAATTTATTCAAGAAAATGTAGAGCGTGTGTCAGCTTGGAGAAGCTTCAGAAGCTACTTCAAATAAAGAATTCTTGTAAAAAACCATTAAAAAAAGAAGAAGAGTGGATTCAAGGAGCAAACTACAGCGACTGCTTACTCACTTTCTCGTTATTGAATGGTTCTTATAAATTGAATTTTGTTCTGATATTTAACTGCAAACTCTGAACATAAAAAGTTGACAAAATAATTTTTTTGCTATTCTTAACTGAATTTATATTTATCGATAAATTTTAAGTATTGTTTTGCTATCTCTAAGCGTTCAAAAATTATGACTATATAAAATTTGTAACCCCTCAAATTGAGGGGGTTTACACATTATATGGTTATAGTTTATGAACTCTGAGAGATATTACTATGAAACTTAAAATTTATCATAATTTAATTTAATTTAACAAAGTTAAGAAATTCAAAAAAATTATTTTACTAACTTGTTACTCTAATGTTTGGGGCAGGAAGGAGGAAATTTTAGGGCTTTTTTAGTTTCCCGCCTCCAATCATCGCAAATTTTACAAAGTATCATTATTTGACATAAGTATAAACATAAAAATGTTTTGAATTGCACTATGTCTGTTAGCTATCTCAAACACAAAAAATGCTGGATCCTTCACTGATCTGTGATTAGATGCCTACTCTAGGTTTTTTTTGACATAAAGGAAGTGTAAACTTCTAAATTAAATGATTTTCTGAGGTGCTGACCAATTGGTCAGCACCTCAGAAAATCAAAAAAGACTTAATGGTCGCTTTGTGATGCCACCATTAAGTCTTCTCAGAGTACCTAAAATAATCACAAAAAAAAAATTGTATATATATATTTTTGAACCACATTGATACGTTTTATTCTAGTTTAGTTTACAACAAAAGGTCTAAAGTCTTTTACCTAATCTTTCAAGGAAACCATTTTGGATTTAGATTTGTTTGATCCAAGGCTTCAGTAACAGTTTATTTAAAAAAAAAAACATTTTATAAAAAATGAGGCAAAAAACAAAAAGTTTGTTGTATGACTGGAAAAAAGCCTAAAGATCAATAAAAATCACTTTACAGCAGTTAACTTATCTATCATAATCAGTGTAAGATATGCACAACATATTCTTAAATTAACTGGATTTGACATCAGAATCTATGCTTGGAAATTGCCCAAAATTTAGTCAAAAATCATAAAAGCGTAACTTCGAACAATTGACACGAATATTTCTATTAAGAAAAAATAAATAATAAAAATTTTTTATATATAAATATGACCTCTATGCCACTCATTAGCCACTTCGCATAAAAATTGGTTGACAAAAAAAATTATGGGAATTATTGCGATAAAGCGTTGGGCGATGTGAATTTTATGTCGTCAAAGAGCAATTTTGTGTGTAGCTAGGGCTATTTGTGTCGAGCAAAAAAATTTTTTGTTTGAGTATATTTCCAGCCGACACAACTCAGAAAATAGTTACGCTTGGTTTCTGTTGCGTTTTTAAAACCTTCTAAAACAAAAAGAATAACACTTATCAAAAATGGTTTTTATTCCGTGAAATTAGCTATTACTATTTACCATAAACACCAATTTAAAAATTAATGGTTTCACCGTTATGGAAACGTAGTATTTTATTATAATAACTTTTCATAAGGAATGTGAAACCACTGATAAAAACATGCGACATTTAAATTTGACTTTAAAAGCTCAAAAAACACGTGTTAAACTCGAGTAAAATGGCCTGTAATATACACATGTTTTTGGTTTACGCCTGGATCGTGAAAAACACGTGTCTATATAGGTTTTAATTCCGAAAAAGACTCTAGATGTGCCGGTAGGGCTTAAAGATATTTTTGAGCGGAATTTAAATGAAGTAATTTATGATTATTTTAACATTTAATAAAGTATTTTAAAAACCACACGCAGTTGATATAAAAGTTTGAATTACAAAAAAATTAAATAGGCTCATTATTTACATGTAGAAAAAATGCAGATTAAAAAAAAAGTTTAAATCTTTTTAAGCTAACATTTTAATAAAATTATACAGCAATAGCAAAGTTGTCGATAAAATTGAACAAAAATACTTTCTTTTAGTTTTAGATTTTTAACTTAAATAATTATTTTACGTCAAGGTTATAAAAATAAATATAAATTAATTAAAAAAAAAATATCATATAAAATCGCTGGTAAAAATATCAGCTATTGCACATTTTTTAATTGTACAATATTAAAATTTCCAGTTTATTACTCGCTGACTTTTTAAAAAGAAAAAATAATTTTTTTAAAAACTTTAAATTACATATTTGAGAAAAAAAATCAAATATTAGCATATTTTATAATCTTTTTTAAATGTTTAGTTATAATGTTTTTTATTTGTTTAGTATAGACAAAACGTGTCAATCGTCGAGAAAATAAACAAATGTTTTTACATTTTAAAAAACGAAACATTCCAAAACATTTTAAAATAATAACATTTCTACATCAATGATTTAAAGTAATTTTGCGGTAATTAAGTAAATTGGTGCAGTTAATGTCGATAAATATGAAAAGCAAATAAAAAGAATTTAATGACATCAAAAATCACGTCGTGCTTATGCGTGGCGCAGTTTTTATTCATCACAAGGCCTAATATATATACACACACACAAACACACACACACACACACACACACACACACACACACACACACACACACACACACACACACACACACATATATATATATATATATATATATATATATATATATATATATATATATATATATATATATATATATATATATATTCATTAAACCCATGTTCATTAAACAACCATGTTTTTGCAGAAACATGGTACAATAATCAGGCTTGGTCGGGAAGCGGGTGCGATCGCACTCGATAATTGACCACAGAAATATTATTTAGTTGTGATAAACCGGCCAGATTATTTAGTCGTTTTGAGAACATTTCGAAAACAAACAAAAAAGCGCAATAAGATTAACTGGACCGACAAGAGGCAGTTAAAAAAAGAAAAATAGCTTTTAACGCGAAAAAACGCGAAGAGCAATTATTTTTGAAACGTCGCTCTTTTATAACTTTTTTTATAAAATAAAGCAACATTTTTTATATAAAGTAACAACTATAAAGAAACAAATGTTCTTTGATTTATCAAAGAGTATATACAATTTTTATTAATATACTAATGTCTTATTTCAAGGGCTGGATTGAGGAGGTGGGGTGGGGGTAGTAGGGCTTTAGCCGCGGGACTCACAATGTTAGGGGAAATAGTCAAGAAGACCATTCGGTATTTTTTTAAGTCATTTTTACGCTGTGGCACATAAAAAAAGCTGCCAAAATAATGCAGCCCCCGGCCATGAAAAGTCCAACAAGATTCAACCAGATGATTTATTTATAAATAAAAAGTTTTTTCAATAACTGTTTTATGCTTCGCGTAGTTTAAAAAGTTTAACAGATTT